AAATAGGCCTACACAAGGCTGAAAGCTTCAACATTAAAAAATGAAATTAACTAGAGATTTGTATTTCTTCTTCATTTTGAATTATGTCTCATCAGGATGGATCCTTCCCCCCCCCCCACAAAATTACATGAATCCATAAGGATAATAGGTTGAGAAACAGTATATGGCCTTTTCATATATCAGGTGACGACGTTAAAGGGAAAATCCACCCTGGTTTTTAAGTTGTTTTTAATAGAAGCAGACTAATGACAGGACATGTCACAGTGTTTATATAATTTGTGTTTCACTGATGACAACTTTAAATTGATAACTTTCTTATTTTTAGTCTGATTTTGCCAAAAATTTCATTGACGTTTTCCTCTCATTTTTCTGATTCTATAAAAAAAAAAATATTAGGGTAGACTTGCCCCTTTAATACATATTTTTATGAACACTATTTCTTGAATGTACGTACAAAAGGAGATGCATCAATCCATGTTCCCTTCGATTAGAATAGTAATTCCCAATATACTGGATATAATAACCATACTTCATTCGTGGTACATAATAGCTTGACTTTTTTCCACAATGTACTCCTGTTTTTTTCTAAAAGGCTTGACGTCATTTATTACAACCATATTCCTATTCATATTCCAGCAGTAATTGTGGCAATTAGGATAGCTCGTTGCTATTCATATCATCCCCACGTCCTCCATGCAGAGAAAAAAACAAAAATCATGCAATATAAATGCATCCTTTTTCAAAAATATCTTTTTAATCAAAGGGTGGTCTGTTATTTACAAGCAGGCAGGCCGGCAAAAAGAACGTCTGACAGTTTTAATGTGTATTTTCTGCACTACAAAATACGGCATTGCGTGATACCTCAAATAGAATATATAGGACCAGTATGTTTCTTTATTTCGTGATAAGGGTTTTCGGATTATAAAGTATTCTTAGTCGTAAGATGAAATTATTTTTGTAGTTTTGAATCGCAATGTTGTAGGGCTTCAATATTACACCATATCACACACACTGATAGCACATAGGGCCGTGCATCTCAGATTTAACATTGTTAAACGATGCCTTTAAATGATATCCTTCCAAAATTGCATAAAAGTGACAAGAAAGCTTACAAGTTACATTTCCACCATTATCATCCTAGGAATTCAACCTTCTGTATAATGACCGGATTAGTAATCCTGTTTTTATATCAAGTTAATGACCACTTGATGTCACTATGCAAACAGCTTGAAAATCAGCCTTTCTTTCTTTCATTGGCCGGTCTTTCCAATATGGTTAAAATGCCCTTTTAAGCTTTCAATTGTTATAAGCGCAATTAGTAAAATCGATAACCTTGAGACAGAGCTTGAACAACAAAAAAACAAAAAAACGTTCGTCCAAATTTTTCAAGATCGAGCGGGCAAAGGGAGCGATAATTTTTGTTAGCAATTCCTGCTTAAAAACATGACACCGAACCAATTTTTCATTTCTCATACTTCATTTGTTTTAACCGTAAATTCGTAGAGTTCCTTTCCCGTTGCGAATGTATTAGGCATCATATTTAATGGTGTACTTATTTAGTTAAAATCTGTCTCGTAGCCGTAAGGCTAAATTATAACCTTATTTTGTTAACAAAAACAAAACACTTACAATTACACATTACAATACTCTACTGACTGTAATATTGAAGTAGGACCCCCCCCCCCCCGCCCCTCGACCGGTAGCTACAGCAATTGCATTTTCTAGATCCTAGCGGGTTGCGTTCTTTCGTTTACCATGACAAAAAAGGAGCATGTAGTGTAATATAAAAAAACCACCTCTATAAATAGATCACTCTCCTCTCAATATTTGTTTTGCTTTCTGTTGTGGCTTGTATTAAAAACCTCTCAACAACAAGTACGATTTTCCCCCATTTAAAGGAATGGACAAAACTAAAGTAAACATTTATAGAAAAGAGGCAGGACACAAAAGATATTGGACAAGAGCTACCTGATTGGAAGGAGTGTCGGGCTTTTGAAATAGGTACGGCTTCGTGAATGCGTAAAGACGAATTAATAGCGGACCGAAGCCGTTCAACAACTTCTGGGAGGCATAGACAGAGGTCGGTTATGCCTCGGTCACACCTCTTACCTGAATCCAAACCGACCGATTCTTCTTCTTTTTTTTTTGGGGGGGGTGACTTTTTTGACCCCCCGATAGGCAATTTTTATTGAAAATAAATATTTGAATGCATGTACAAATGAATATCATATAATACTTCAGAATAAGATATACATAATGAATATCAACCATATTAGCGATGGCTAAAAGCATAGCATTTTAATAATAATAATAATATGATACCGATAATACTATACATACAGAACATGATAATATTTTTATTTAAAAAATCTTGGCAATTCCGGGCATTGATTTGCTGTTGTTGATGTTCGGTCTGTTTAATAATAGCGACTTTCTTGGTTTATATATCAAACACCTTATACATTCATGATGTCTCTGAGCGGTTTACAGATATATTATATATTACCCTGGTCATTGGTTCCATGCGTAATTGCCTGCACATAATGTATGCACATTCACCACTCCCTGGGGAGCATTCCAGCGAGGCGCCATCTTACAGACGCTCACAATGCTGAGCAAATGTACAATGACTTTCGCATCATACTGGGTACACGTTTTGTACCTGCATGGATGGAGAGAAGCAATGCACATAAACTTGCTAACATGAGGACACACATGTAAGCATGATAAATGCCGCACCAGGCTGCGAACCCACGACCTTTGTATATCAATTCAATTGTTTTGGTGTCTGGTCTCGATGGTGTGACTCATGACTGGCGTATAATTCCCGGCGTACCATGAACCGCTGCGGCCTTACCCTCTGAGACCACTTCCATTAAATAATTATGGTCCTTCCAAAGAATTCTTTCTAGGATTCAGCCTAATAATAACTCCTTATTACAATACTGACTAAAATGGAAAGGTTGAGTATTGATAAGGAGGAATAATAATTTGCAGGTTTTCTCATTCTTTTTCTTGTCACTTTGAAAGAATTTCATTAATAGAATTTCCACTGGAAACTCTTGTTCTTCACCAAATTTAAATTTTGATGCAAACTAGCTGAAACGTGTATACCAAAGTTTCGTTATAGAGTACCATATACCAAGTTCTGTGTCGATACATGGGACCTTTCATCAAGACCGTAAACTTCCCATCCTCTGGATTATTATACAGCTTCACAGCATGATTATAAAAATTCACCATTTAAAAACAAAAAATCTCAACATCACCATGTTCTCGTCTTCTGTTAGGCAACGATTTTCACAATGTAATAACATGGCGATAACACGACTTTCAGCTTGACATGATTTGTCAAGGTGACTTTAAAAACAATATCTAAATAATTAAGATTTATAAGTGTCTCTGCCATAATGCGCGTATATCGAACGGTCAAACTTCGTTCTGAGACCCGTTTCACAAAGCCTTTTGTCAATGACAAATCTGTTGATAACCAATCATAAGCAAGGATTTCAGCAGCTTATAACAAAGATCGTCATTGAAAAAAAGTTTTGTGAAACGGGACCCTGGTGTCTGTCTCGTAAATGGTTAGGTGGGGATACGTCAGACGTTGGACCCTTGGTATTTTAATGATCTCGTTCCCGTACTGACAGGTATTACGTAACATTAAGCAATTAATACGGGGAAGGGGGACCGTGGATTATGTGTAAGTCCATTGTGTTTAACCAGTTGTGATTATGTAAAGTGGACACGTACGACGCCATTTGATTTGGTGTTGAAAAGAAGACAAATTGTATTGGATAACGATGATGATGACGCTTAGCGTATTAAATCCTGTCTCCAGATAACCCAGACATATCACCCGACAACCGCTCTCTCCATCACGGACGGAGAGTTGTCCGTGTACAGATTGGTAGACCGATTAGGCCTGTTTTCATCAGCTCGAGATTGCCAAATAACCCTCTATTTTAACTTTCCCGATCGCAAATTATCCAGCTAATTTGCGTCATCATCAGCCCGCAGTTGAAATTATCGGAATATTTGGTCGAGGAAATCATCCCAAGATATCACCAGCCCCAAGACTCGCACTATGCGCGAACGCTGAGCAAAATATCTCGAGCCAATTTCTCAAGCTCGAGCTTCGAGTTTCGAGCTGACGAAGACGCGAATTAACTTCGAGCTTATTTCCCAAATCAGAAATAGCTGGCTATTTGGCAATCTCGAGCTGATGATGACATACCTAGTGAGTATGTTCTTTGACGCAACACCACGATCACCGTTTAAATCGAGACCCATGAAGGAGCCACTTGAAGATATAGTTGTTATCACTTGCGCATTTCAAGTTCTGAAAGAACCTGTCAGGAGTTTGATGTGAATACACCTTTAACAAATTAATTTCAAATTAAACAACAAACACACACACAGCAGGATATGTAGTAAACAACTTGAATGTATTTTTTTTCTTTCACATTAGAAATGTACATTGTAGGCCTACTTGAATATAGTAAACGGCACAACATAATGAATGTATAGGGCCTACTGCTACCTTAAGGCGTCATCTGATTAAATTCGATTTCTTTGGCGTTTTCTGCTTAAACTGACGATTTTTAAAGTATGGTCTATATTTATAGAACTTAACCTGAGGGAATAATTTGGGAGAAATTTTGAAGAACTACTCTCCCCCCCCCTCCCTCTTCTTCTTCTTCTTCGTCCTCTTGTTTATTCTTCTGTTTATCCCTCTTCCCTCTCTCTCTCTCTTTCTCTCTCTCTCTCTGTCTCTACTTCTTCTTCTTCTTTTTTTTCTCTCTCTTTCGCTTTCTCTTCTTCTATCTGTCTCACTCTCTCTCTCTCTCTCTCTCTCTCTCTCTCTCTCTCTATATATCTTCTTCTTCTCGCTCTCTCTCTCCCTCTTCATAGCACATACAACATGTAACTAGTAACATGCCATTAACAAGAAGTCAGTAGTAATTTCTAGTAATTATTACGTAATGCACGCATCTTACCTGTATTATCTCTTCTGTACAGCTTCTTCAATACTGATGATCACCGACAGGAAAATAAAATATCCAGACTTGGTTAATTCCACAACTTGTAAATGTTTTCCTCTCTATTCCACGCGCGGAAGAAAATTCCCAATAAAATAGCTACTTTGGTAACAAATCGTCAAATTTACCGATTACGTAGACTTGCAACAATGTAGGCCCCACAAGGCACCATGAGATAATCCTACGTCGCTTTGATTCTTGATACGGAGCCGAAAAAGAGCTATTCTTGTATTTGTTTCTTCTTCTATTGTTTGAGTATCCAGGTTCGATGTCACGTTCACTTTCACTTTCGCCTCGAGCTCCTTCCGGATAATAAATCGAGGTAATTAAATACCCTTCACTTTCAAGCACCATAAGGGGCCATTCGCTCCAACTTGTACTTGAATCAGGGAGAGTGTACCTGCTAGAATGAAGCTTCTGACAATTATAGCTCTGCTATTGTACAATAATCTTGTACGAATGAACGTATCGAACCGTTTCTTCCAAGCTTATTCTGTTACCAGACAGATGTCAACGCGCGTGCAAACAAAAACTATAATGATCACCGTAATCCAGCTTCCACTTGATCAAATGCGTCGGTTACTCCAAATTCAGTTCTAGTTTCCAGGATTATTATGTTATATCCCCGGGCATGGCTAGAAATCAGTACTGTAATACTCAGAGCAGAATGTCAATGTATCATGCCGCAACTACAATAGTGATCATTGACGTCTATCGAATTTGTCGGTGCCTCATTAATAACACAAAAGCCGAAGGATGACAACCTCATTTGACTGTCAGCCGTCAAGTGACCATTGTGTATGTTGAACAGCATCGATGCGAAAGTCACAAAACGTATCAATAATTATTTGCGGCTGCGTGCGGGAGCGTGTCAGTAAAATAAAAGCTAATATCTGACTCGAGCGCTTCTGCTATTCAAGAAGTTGGAGAGAAAAATAGAGCGAAGTGCACAGTCTGTAGTTTAGACCTTGCGGCACAACATCGAGTTCAAGGGATCTGATTGCCTGATATAGCACCAACTTGCTTGATGGGTATCTTGTGTGCTCCAGACATTGGCGTTCCAGCTTTTCATCAACTGTTATCACTGGTTCTTTCTTTCCCGGGTTCTTTGTAATGTGACGTTACTTATGTTACCAGTCAGCCCAAAAGGCTTATCCATGTATGTGATGCGCTGTCTTCCTCTGCTTCTTTCCCCTCAATTTTCCCTATCCTATTTTCTGTGCCTTCTCTTCGCATGATATGCCAAACAAACTTGAGTTGTCTTTCCCTTATGATGTTAAAGGTACTAGGCCTTTGTCCCATTTGCAGGTCAAAAAATGAAGGGTTAAATTCCAACGGCTTTTGAAAGACAATACTAATTTAGACCTCCCCTCAAAAAAAAATTGTGTTTGTCTGTGTGTGTGGGAAAATAACGACCATTAGTTGTCGAATCGATATAAGTGATTGCTATCACCTTATTAATAGTCTGATTTTCAGACCCTTTTTTGTGCTTCACAAAGATTCAATCAGTTTAATTCTGGCCATTACAAGAACTGGGTTATTGATGTAGACAATTGCTCATGTCCCCTTTACAGCTCATTTTATCTATGTTATTACCAAAGAAAGAAAAAGTCGGTCAGTCACTCAACAGTGTCCGACAGTGAAGTCTAGAAAGTAAACGGGTTTCCTTTCATAATTTGAATACTAGGAGACACTGCTAACGTTTAAACTTCACAGATAGGACATACATGACATATTCATAATTCCTGCAAACTACTCCATAATTAGATGTTGGCTGCAAGAGCCAAAAGGGACATAGTATCTTTAAGGAGGGATCTATCGACATCGACACATGCCTTATTGAGCACTTCTTTCTTTGATACCCTGTCAGTCCAAGGTATTCATAATACATAACATGGCAGTCAGGCGCGTACGCAGGATTTTTTCAAGGGGGGGGTTTTAACATTTATAAATCGGTCCGAAAATTTCGCAACGACTCAGCCAGCCGCTGAATAAGCGGGGGGGGGGGGGGGGGGGGGGGGGGTAAGAGGACACTTTTTTTTTTTTTTTTTGGTCTCGAAATTTGGAAATTTGACATTTTGCTCCGTTGGGGGGGGGTAAGGTCACCTTTTTTAGGTCGGCCATGGGGGGGGGGGGGGGGGTTTTAGGTTTTTTTTAGGGGGGTTTACACACAAAAAATTTCCAAAGGGGGGGGTTTAACCCCCCAAACCCCCCCCCCCCCCCTGCGTACGCGCCTGATGGCAGTACCCGGATGTTAGTGGTCATTTATAGGTTTCGATTTGTTTGCGCGCTTCTCATACCCTCTGAGGTGATCAAACCTCCAAGCCCAAGGTAGGATAATTGGTGGCATTTCTTTGCACGAACTTGTTCACATCGTATAAATTATTCGAATTTTTGTTCCAAAACCTATACACACGAGGTGAAGTCGTGCAATTTTAAAAGACAGATGAATGTGATGATGATGAACTATATCTTTCTAAATAAATGTACTTGAATAAATAAGTGACTACAAAATATTTTAAAATGTAAATAAACTCAAATGAAATACCAGTTGAGAGCGATTTCTAAAAAGGACAGTGATCGCATTCTACCATTAACATAATTATTAATGTACCAGTCTTGTGACCCTAACACCAGGTATAAACAAATATATAGATAGATAAATACAATTTCTTTTATTGAGGGATCAGTGATGTCGAACGTGACTTTCACTATTTTGTTATTGTGGGGGCTCAACTGGGGGGGGGGGGGCAGAGTATGGACCTTTTTTTAAATCTTTTTTTTATTCAACACCCCCCCCCCCCCTCCTTCAAAAACAATAAATATATAAACTTACTTTTGGGGGGCTTTCTTGCCAGGGGAGGGGGTCCGCCCCGCCCCCCCCCCCCCCGGGCCCTGGATCCACCCCTGGTATGACCAAGTTGTTGATAATTGAAGGTGCTAATGTTATCAATTAAAGACCGTCAATACTACTGGGCCAGAGGGGATTAGACCACACAGCGAGGTCACTGACAGGTGGCTATCTCATTAACCTAGCTCTCAACTACCATAAGAAAAAAAGGATCATGGGGGACCAACAGGCGCCGATTGGGGAAGTTTTCTATATAGAGGGACCAAGCAGGTACAAGTAGGACAGTGGGGCTTTAAACAATACATATGCACAATACAAGCATGAATTTAAATGCCACGGTGTTCTTATCTAAAGCAAGAATGGGACATTCATAATTATGTTAATGGTAGAATTCGATTATGTATACTCATTCACTGTCCTTTTTAGAAATTCGCTCTCAACTCCTATTTCATTTCTTTATTGAGAATCATTCATATTATTGCTGTTGTTTATCTACTTCTATAATATTAGTCGTAAAACTCCATATTTCCGCTAAGTTGCGAATGTATTGGGCAACCTTCCTTAAATATTTTGAAATCTGCGCTTAAACCAACTTAAAACCAGCACCTTAGGCTTAAGTTGGTGGCCGCACACAACGACACACCTCCAGTTTAAACACCTTTACGGCGTCTTTTGGAGGAATCCTACCAAGTACCAAGTATCTCACCCCAGGCCTCCTCATTCGCCCCTAAAACAAAACACCGATTTATTGAAATGGCACTGCATCGTTGTCCTAAATTCAGTTATTCGTTTGTCTGGGACATGTACAAATTAGGTTCTCATGATTTATTCGTACATCGATGATTGCCTTGAAGACAATTTAAAGAAAAATATGACGGAAAAATATAACGACCTATCAAACTGATGGAAAATACAATTTTTATGGACAAATTACTAGCCTGCAAGAATTAACGAAGGACACAGGCAAGGCTAATCATATGTTCATAGGGTTTCGTCCTTCTGGTGATTTTATTTTGGCTTTATTTGTTCTGTTTCCCAAAAGAATCCCAATCACTGGTAACAAATTGTGAACAACAGGTGGAATGATAATTATGTGGAGAGGGTCAAATCACGGACTTACTACGTAGTAGGTCCATGGTCAAATAGGACTTCGTGCATTGAATCAGTATTATTTTATGTTTGTTTTTTACATGTCAAACTGAATCTTCAGAGATCGTTAACTATGTCGAGACCTGGGACGAAAACATCTTTGTTTTGTTTTATCATGAAGTGTGTTTTAATGCAGTATTTGATTTAATGTTATGATGTTTCTAAACAAAAATGGGATTAGGACTTTCTCAACTATACCATTGCTTCACCTCGCCCCCCCCCCCTTTCCCTCCCTTTTTGTCTCTCCCTCTCTTTCCGTCTCCTTTTCTCTACATCTACCTCTCTCGCATTCCCTTTTACCCCTCCCCCATCTCTCTCTCTCTCTCTCTCTCTCTCTCTCTCTCTCTCTCTCTCTCTTTCTCTCTCCCTACCCCCCCCCCTCTCGCTCTCTCCTCTCTCTCTCTCTCTCTCTCTCTCTCTCCCGTTCTCTTCATATCGTTTTCCCTTTCTCTCCCGTTTCTCCATCCGCCCTCATTCGCCTATATAGCGTACAGCTAGTTTCCAAAGACAGGGTATTTCACTGATATCGCTACCATAGTGACTGCTGTAATGTACAATGTATTTTCACTTGCGCCATTTTTCGTTGAAGGCATTCATAAAAAATGATGGAGCGATTTCCGATTTCCGTAGCCAATCATCATCACGCGATCGTCAACAGTTGATGATTGGTGCATTGTGGGACGTGGCTGTCGACACATAGGGACATAGTGAGCAGCACATGGAAACTGATACTTGAATCTGAAGTAGTAATAATGATAGTAATAATAATCTTTTAAAGTCCACTCCAAATTTTTTATTAAGTTAAACCGAAAATGGAAATTCTTTTTGCCCAATTGATCGTGAGCCCGGCAGCCACTGAGCAGCGCCAGATCGGTGTTGCTCTATCCCGTATTGTTGAATGCCGAACAAGGTAGCAGCAACTCCCGTCTTTTAAAGTCTTTTGGTATGACGCGGCCGGGGTTCGAACCCACGACCTCCCGATTGTAATGTCAGTATAATACCCTCCATTTAAAAAGCAAACACATTAACCAATTGATAAACACATACATACATGTTCTATAAAACATCAACCAATCATAACACCTTTAATAAAATATTCAACCGCGGGACAACCATGTTTTGTACCACAATACATTCAACAGATACAATATGGTGGTTCTAAACGTCATACAAAGGAATAAAAACAATTAATTTCCTTCAAAAACGAGTATTTCAGTTGGGATAATAGCTAACATCTGACCAATGGCAATGTACATCTCCAATACATTCTTATAGGTCTACCCTTTGTATATGATAATGCAGATGAATAACATTTAACATTGTTACAAGAATTCCACGACAAAAATATAGTTACAATATCTCAGCATACATTTATATAAATGTACACTATTCCCATATCAGAGGATGTGGATACCAATCACGGCAAAATGGCATAATTTTCTTCCGTCACCATTAAGATTAGTTTGCTTTACAAAATAAATGTATGCAATGCTCGCCAATGGGGTGACGCTCGTCCGAATTTCGGTTATTTTCACATTATTAGGGTTCCTGCCCCACCACCCAAAGAACCTATTTGGCCTGTTGCTTAGTATACATGTACTTGTATTTTAATTTGTTTGTTTTACTTGTATAAACACGGCACAAGAACAACTATCCTGTCAGGAGCCAGGCCGTTTTCCAGACGCATATCTTCAGGAACTCAATTTTGCAATAACAACAAAAACAATCACAACCACGTCACCACAACATACATTTACAAATGTATATATATATATATATATATATATACATGTATTATGTTACAACAATAAAAACAAAAAATATAATTACAGAGAGAATGATAAGAAGTGATGTACAATGTTCCCAAATTTTGCTTACATCGTAAATTTCGAATTAAACTTCTTCATTTTTAAGACAACTAAACAGCTATTTGGATAATCAATCATTATCCGATGGTTGATTTCAAGGCACATCCTAGAAGGATTGTACATTCCTATCAAAAACACAACATTCAAAGTTAAAAGGGGACTACACTACAACTCACTACAGCTACTTACGCCCTATATATATTGTAAACAGGTACCCGTTGGTCCCCCATGGTCCTCTTTTGCTAATGTTAATTAAGGGCTGATTGGATGAGATAACCATCTGTCACTGACCAGGCAGGGAGGTATAATCCCTCCTGGCTAAACTAGTGCAGATAGGCTTTAAATGATGATAAATAATCTTTTTAAGCGAAAGTGTCAGGCACGCCTGAAAAAAAATGATGTTTTTCTTTGGGGGTAATATTCCCCCCCCCCCCCCCTCCCAGGGATCATAATTTAGTCCCGATTCATTAGTGGACATGTCTAAGTCAAAGTATAATGTTTCATGATGACCACTCAAAGAAGAGGTTAAAAGGTGGTTTTTATAGACAGGCAGTTTGTTTGCACGGGTTCTAACGTCCACACACACAAAAAAAAATCAAATATAGGGGAAAATGTAATTTAGCCGAGAGAAAGGGTTTTTCATTTTATAGTCACTAAATACAAATACGGTTAATTCAAATAAACGCCTAATGGTTTATTCAATACATAAATGAAATTAGTGGACATGTCTAAGTCAAAGTATAATGTTTCATGATGACCACTCGAAGAAGAGGTTAAAAGGTGGTTTTTATAGACAGGCAGTTTGTTTGCACGGATTCTAATGTCCACACACACAAAAAAAAATCAATTATAGGGGTAAATGTAATTTAGCCGAGAGAGAGAGGGTCTTCCAATACAGAAAGTCACCAAAGACGGTCAATTCAAATAAACGCCTAATGGTTTATTCAATACATAAATGAAATCTAGATAACATCGTCAGTCGCCTTGTTTACTTTTATATCTGTAACATTTGCTATGTGGTCGGTCAACAAACTAATTGATTTCCATTTCTTGCCTAAAATAGTTAATGATAGCTAATAACAGTGTGTTTATTTCTAATTCATTTCTAATCTTCAAAAAAGTACTTCAGTAATGTACAAAGGGGACAAAATCAAGGCATTGACTGCACACCGTAAATACAACCACTTATTACTAACAAATAAACATTGACGAAATACTGATTTAATTTTAAAAAAAGGATCACCCATCTATATTTTACAGTATGTACGTATGTACAGACATGTATGTCCATGTTCGTAACTTTGCAATCAAATTTTAAAACAGCATTTTTGTTGTATATATATATATATATATATATACATTTGATATACATTAGGTCATAAAATATAAATAGGGAGAGAGAGAGAGAGGATAGCCATAATAAGCACGGGTTTGGATGAAAACAAGGTGAGGTATAAAAGAAGATGAGAAATATTGGAAAGAGTGTTATTTATAAAGATAAAAGTTGAGTCAGACTAATAAGAAAGCCGACTATTGACGTATACGGACATGGTACATACAAGTATTGACACAGTGGCGGATCCAGGGGGGGGGGTTGGGGGGGTTGCAACCCCCCCCTTGGGCGGCCCAAAAAAAAAAAAAAAAAAAAAAAAAAAAAGGAAAAAAAAAGAAAGAAAAAAAGAAAAAAAGAAAGAAAAAAGAACGCACGTTGGAGAGAAACCCTTTCAAGTGCAAATATTGTGAGAAGATATTCAACTCATCAGGTAACTTAACCAAACACATGATAACTCTGGATATAACTGTGTATTTAACTGTTACTTGATTTAAAAAGACGTTATCATGCACTGCTTTTTATGGTCTCCATTGTGTTAATAGATGCCAGGAAAACATCACTTACGGGGTTCAAATAAACACCCCCAAAAAAATCGGTTCGCCGCTTCGCGGCTCGTGGACGATGCTCCGCATCGTCATTATTTTGGTCAACCCCCCCCTTAGCAAAAAGCTAGATCCGCCCCTGTGACATGGTCCTCTGGCAATTTAACACCACAAGTCGAAGAGAAAGGTGAAAAGCTTTAAAGAGTGAGATCACTCTATCAACTCGACTAAACCAATCACTCATTATTATGACTTACAAGTCAGATATTATGGTACAAAATAAAACTTTTATTTGTTACGAATGAGCATTATTCTTGTGAAAAGGTATATGGCTGTTTGGGCATCTTATTTTCTTTACCAACAGGTGCAACAATGCAGGATAACATTTTTTACAAATAAAATTTCCCGTGGGACTTCAGCCCATTATAACAAGAGTTTCATTTCGTGAGAAGGCGACAGATTTTCAGATTTGGACTGAAAAATTTCATCCTCTGCCGCCATCTTCTACCATTTCCTTCTCGTCATCATGTCCTGTGTGTCTCACAAAAGGAGCAGATTCGATGTCGGTGTCCGGACATCGCTGATCATGATGAAAACTGTTCGCGTTGACGTCGTTCTCCTGGGCTTCCTTCCCCAGTGAAGTCGTCTCTGGTTCACCCACATCATGCTCATTGCAGCTGCGCAGAGAGGAATACGGGGCTTCCCCGTTCTGCGTATGAGTGTTGTTGTCGCCCTCTGTCGGCAGCCGTGCGTTATTCCCCTCGCCATCCTTGGTTGTTTTTGCGAAGAAGATGATATTGGGAAGGGAAGGTTTGGACTCGTTTCGAGAAGACACTGTGGAGAAAAGGGTGTTGTTCTCCCTCAAACTCGCAAAGCGACGCTTGATTAGTTTATGGACCTGAAAATATACAAAAAATTCGTTTGCTTTCATACACTATCTTTGGAAAAAATAGGAGTTGATATCTAACATTGAATTTCGAATAAGATGCTATTTGTCCTCGTGCTTAACGAGGGTAAATAATCTTAAAGCCTTTAAAGCCCCACTGTCCTACTTGTAGCCACTTGCTCCCTCTATATAGAAAACTTCCCCAATCGGTGCCTGTTGGTCCCCCATGATCCTCTTTTTCTTATGTTAAATGAGAGCTGAGTTAATGAGATAGCCACCTGTCAGTGACCTCGCTGTGTGGTCTAGTCCCTTTTGGCCCAGTAGTATTGACGGTCTTTAACTTATCTCCCACATAATAAATACAATGTGGCGCAGGAAGATCATGTGTGTGGGGCAAATAAAGAGTTAACTTTCTAGAAACTATGATCATAATATCGAGGGTTCAGTGACACAAAGATGTAACTTCATATTTTGCAAAATGGGTATTTGATATCATAATGTTCAGAAAAATGTGGGCTTTCCAGGAAACACAAAGACTTTACTCCACCCAACACCCCATTGAAGTCAACAGGCTGGAAGTCAATGGCTAGTGAATCATATACTGAACTCCTCAGTTCTCAGGGACACGTAAACCACTTTGTCTCAAAATGGCCAAAATGGAGTTACGTTTTTGTGTCACTGACCCCTCGGTATCATGTTCTGTCTACCTACCTCTGGATTCAGGAACACGTAGAAGAGTGCGACGAAGAAGCCTTGTGTAGACTGCAGAAGAACCTGCATGTACCTGTAGATGTGGGTGGCTACTGTCGGCTCATCGGGGGTGGGTTCGATCAAGAAAAAGAGGTACGCCGCCCCGAGCAAGGGGGTCAGCACGAGGAGGGCTCGCGCTCCTTTCCTGTGGCAACGAGAGGAAAATATGTATTCATTTAAAGGTAAAGACCAGTCTTGGAAACGCCCCAATTTCAAAAAATGAAATGGAAGCTCTTATTACCAATCATGTGAAAGAATATGTTTTGACTAATACATGATCATACAAATTTTGCCGGGAAACCGCCTACTAATTCATATATTTGGTAAGTTAGTTTATCTATTGGTGTGTGAGAGATAAACGCACGTGTCGCGCACGTGTGCGTAGTCCCATATACATATTTTTGTGTACAGTGCTTGTAACTTTACCAAGACTGGGACAAGTTTCTTATGATTTTGATGATTCCAGAACGTTGCAGTACACACCAATACTTATACGCTAGATGATCAACCTTTTCCGATCGATTCCTCAACGTTTATTTCACAATGCGATCGCATGACCATAACTGGTCTTTATCTTTAAAGCCCCACTGCACTTCCAATAGCTACTTGCGTCCTCTATATAGCATACAATCATGCCTAATCGGTACCTGTTGGTCCCCCATGATCCCCTTTTTTAATTGTTAATTGAGAGCTGATTTGATGAGGTAACACCTGTCAGTGACCTTGCAGGGAGGTCTAATCCCCCTGGCCAAACTAGTACAAACGGGTTTTAATTGAATTGAATTCATTTTCTTTTGCAACATACAAATCAAATTAAATTTCAGCGATACAACATGAACAAAATAATTAAAAAAATTGTGAACGGGTACACATTATAACAATAATAGAAAATAATGTTGACTGATAACATACTACTAATATGTATTCATTCACAAATCTGCAGAAGTAGGGCTATGGTTGGAGGGGGGTGATTTTATATTCAAATCGCTGGTGATGGTGATGATAATGATGATGATGATGTTGATGGTAAAAAAGATGATGAAAATGAAAATGAAAATATTTAGATGTAAATATGTCATCATCATTATATTACCATTATATGGTGACGAAGTAAATCGAATGTATTTTCTACAAGCAGTGGCTGACAATGGCCATCGCGGCGAAATTTCAACTTGTTCAAATGTAAAATAAATGATTCGGGAAATATTATTTCAAAATGTGCAGCAAGTACGGAGACAAAACATAAGTTGTGTGGCCGTAATTGGGACATCTTTTTTGACAGTTTAATTTACTTCAAAAAGATTGTAAGCTTCAAATGAAAGTAACTATTATACTATGTTCATTTAGGTTCACATACGTTTCATCATTGTTTATAAACATGTGTTCTTCCTCGCACCCGATCGTACGTTAAACTTGTAAAATAATCATTATCAGATTGGAAAATTATTTCCACGTTTCACATTCAAAATTACGCATTGTTTTCGTTTAAAATGTTAGGGATAAAGTACAATATATAGATGTTTTGAATAAGTATATTCAAGTACGCCTACATAAAATACATTACATCACTTTACTTTTCTTGTATTTACTCACAAATTAACAAATTAAGGACTACATAAAATTGGAAATGACGATATCAAAGAGCTTAAAAAAGGTAAAAACATATAGCTTTATAATTTAATGAGACATTTCAGGTTTTAATTTGCAATCATGCAGTATTTGATTTAGCTAATATTGAATTACTTATGGAGGTGTGACGTACTTGTACTGAGGAATATCGCTGGTGGTCGATGATCTCTGCCTTCGAATGATGACGACGATGATGTGGACCAGAAAATAAACATTGATCTATCGAGCCAAATTTTATTTTGAGGAGAAACAAAAATCAGAAATACATAACATGTACATGTACATTAAAAGGAAATGAATTTAAACATTTATAACTGTTTTATTACATTAGGGGACAAACCTATGCATAGAATACATTCTTCTTCTATTTTGCTTATGTAATCATGGCTGCTTTGTTGTAATGTATAGGTAGGAGGCGCGATAGCTCAGTTACAGAGCAGTGGTCTCGTAACCGGGAGGTCCCGGGTTCAAAACCAAGTCGATATGTAGTGCCATTTGATTAGGCATTAATGCCCATTACCAAGTCCTTCGAAGAGGACTTAAAGCCATCGGTCCCCTGGTTGCTTAATTACAAGCATACACATGCTTTCTTAGCAGTCAGTTAAAACATACAAACAAACAATTTAAATGTGTCTCTATACACACCCTTGTTTATCTTAGATTATCACCGCCAAAACGAATGGCGTGATTACTCATGTAGATACAACAACAGCAACAACAGCAACAACAACAACAGCAACAACAGCAACAACAACAACAACAGCAACAACAAAATACTACTCACCACAACAATTAGACAAATTGGAATTCTGATGATGTAGTCAATATTGTTGTTTTCAATACACCTGTACAAATGAACCATAATTGAGTGAAACGATAAGTACAAAAAGCCGGGAAAACGGGCATAAATAATAAATTATGACTTAATTGCCTTAAAAACAATAAAAGGAAATATAACAATTTATGTTTATTTTTTTAAATGTTGGTGAAAATTGCCTAGAGCACTTTTTTGATCATTACATGACAACTCACTAAGGCGTATGCCTTACTTATTTTACTTTCATTCTGATTTCTCCAATCTTGTTAGGGCGCGTGCCCCCCCCCAATAATAATAATGATAATAATAATAATAATAATATAATAATAATAATAATAATAATAATAATAATACCAATAATTATCATGATAATAACAATAGTAATAATAATAATAACAATATGAATAATAATGAAACTAATGCATAAACAAATGAAAATATAAATGATGACTAAATTAATAATAAAATAATAACATAAGATCTACACCTCTGATAAGAGGTTTCATGATATGTCACAATTATTATGAAATGGTCTTACGCTTCATTCTTGGTCTGGTAATCATCCAATCCTGTCATCCGAACAGTCACATCAATAACCCCAAGGGTAACAGGTACCACTGCGGGTTAGAAAATATATATGCATGTATATAATTATATCAATTTGTTTGCCACATTCAAAATCTCCTCTGTTTATAGACTCTTTTATTACTCCAATATAACATCGTTAGTTTGGTTTAATAGAAGGCATAGTTTAGTATTATTCCTTTGTATAATTAGGATAACTGATTATATCAAACGTGGTATTGCAATAACTTATCTCCTCTTATCATACTCAAAAGGTAGTTTAAAACTTTTCAATGTTGGTTCACAACAGCAGCACCTTACGAGTGCAAAGATGAAGACCAGACTCTCAAACTCTCTTCCCAACCCACATCCTGTGCTGTGGTATAATGTCCCCCTTATGAAGGTGCAAATACGATCAAGAGATGTATGTTTAAAGTGACGGGGAACAAAATTGAATCATTGAAAACTGCGTTGGTTTTGTAGATACAAAGGGTACAAAGTCGTAGCCCCCCCCCCCCACCCCGACCCCCAATGTAACCGAATGTGAGAGTCATAGCTATTCCAAAAAATTTCAAGTAAACCACAGGCTTATAAAAAAAAGGTATTTAGTACCATGAAGATCGATGTTAATTTGTTTTATAACATGATGACGTGGATCCAAATCAAACGATTGGTTGAAAGCGTACACGTGACGTGACCAGGCATTTATTTTGCCTAACGCGTAATTTGGATAATGACCGGTCATTATCCAATTCTAATGACCGGTCATTGGTAAAATCATGTTACAAAACATCTTTTTATAACACAAATAATCTTATATAAAAAAAATTATACACATCATTTTGTTTGAGCATTAGTAAAATTACCCACACTCGGTACCTTCAAAACAGTCCAAACACCCTCGGCTACCGCCTCGGGCGTTGTAGATTGTTCCAAAGGTACCTTCTGTGGGTAATTCTTACTAATGCCCTCACTGCTGTGTATCATTTGTATTATATGGCATTTAGTGCTATCCATACTGACTTACCCCATCCGATGAGGGCGTAGACCCAGAGGGTCTTGAGGGTCACCGTCACCCCTCGCACCAATATGCTGTAGAGGTAGATACCTTCCACCAGCATCCAACAGAAATTGGCCATAGAGGCGGTCAAGAGGACGGCAATGGTCGGACAGATATACGGCTGTAGGAAGAGAGAGGGAGAGAGAGAGACAGACAGACAGAGAGAGACAGAGAGAAAGAGAGAGAGACAGAGAGAGAGAGACAAGGGGAGAGAGATGGAGAGAGAGATAGAGAGGAAAAAAGGAGAGTGAGATAGAGACAGAAAGAGAGAGAGAGAAAAAAAAGAAAACGATTCAAAGTCAAATACATTTGTCGTGTTATTTTAGTTCAATAAAGGTTACAGTATCAGTGCACAGATGATGGTGGTGGGATCTTAAAACCCTTTTTTAACCAATCAAACAAAGTAGCCCAAATGTCAAAGACATCAGCGGTTATGAGCAGTTTACACATTAATATAAATTATTCGTCAATTCAAGGAGTTACTAGCAAGTAGTAACTCCTTGGTCAATTTTAGAATAAACAAAACAATAATAATGCAGAAAAACTTTATTATAAATAATAATATTTTAATTGTGCTCTTTTTTAATATTTATCAGGTGGGCTGTATAACGTACAGACCACCTTATAATTTCGTTAGAATTGCCTTTATTTATTTATTATTATCAGGTGGGCTGTATATCGTACAGACCACCTTATAATTTCGTTAGAATTGCCTTTATTTATTTATTAAATATTTTTCTTATTTCTAACCACTTTTTTGTGAACAAAATAACACAAAAATGGCTCAATCAAATGCCTTGAAATTTGGCACACATATGTATAGGCATATGTACGAAGCACAATAACGTTTTCAACATTGACCTTCACTGATGACGTCATCTAGGCGCCATTTTGTAAAATTTTACGAAAATCAACTCATGATCATATCTTCATAACCAAAAGGTATTTCTCATTCATATTTATCATGATTAAGGTCAATATCCGTTTGGTCAAATTCAGGTCAAATATCGAGCGCGTGCGCGTACGTCCGCGCGTCAATGCGCGCGCAAAATATTAAAATGCTCAAAATCGTCTCAAAATCATTTTGCATAGGTTTGAGGCCATTCTAAGCATTTTATAAAAAATCGCGCACACGCGCATGCGCGCGCGTTTTCGCGCGTAAAACTATTACACAACATAAAATCGCCATTTTTTTTCTTTCATAATATTTCACATATTTTTACAAACAAATTGATACCATGTTTGTCTCTTTATGACTATTAATAACGGAATGATCGACCGTTTAACAAAAATTTCTGTGCGCGCGAGCTCTTGTAATACATAGCATATATGATCAAAAACATGCCTATACAAAATCCATTGTAGCTCTTTAGGATGCAAGGTGACCCCAATTTTTTTTCATATTTTAATAAAGTAGGATTCGGAGATATTGTTTCATGTCTCGTTTGACCCTCAATTAACTCATGACCTCATCATAATGGCCTCCGAACTCAAAATTCCAATTTGCATATTATGACGTCAGCATATTTATGGAAAATTGATTGTATCTCTGTAAATATTGATTGATTTTCTTCCAAATTTCGATATGTTCTAGCTGAGACAATTTTCTACAAACAAAGTTACTATTACTCTCATTTTGACAAAGGCATCATGGCGTATTTTTTGCGATTAAAGGAGGCATGTCAATTGTTCACATTTTTCGTGTATTCTCTATGGGACATGACTTTTTCTCAAAACTGGATTCTACATTTTCGTCTTTCGCAAGCAATATCTACGTCGTTTTAGCTTCGTTTACGCTGAACTTCGAGTATGTTGTAGCTGAGACAATAAGATATCTCAAATGTGCCCTTTATTTTTTTTCAATTTTTTGTTGGATCAGCCCACCTATACTTGTTCCAAACAAGTATTACAAATCTAGTATATTTTTCTTATTTCTAACCACTTTTTTGTGAACAAGATAACTTGGAAATGGCTCAATCAAATGCCTAGAAATTTGGCACACATATGTATAGACATATGTACAAAGCACAATAACGTTTTCAACATTGACCTTCACTGATGACGTCATCTAGGCGCCATTTTGTAAAATTTTACGAAAATCAACTCATGATCATATCTTCATAACCAAAAGGTATTTCTCGTTCATATTTATCATGATCAAGGTCAATATCCGTCCGGTCAATAAAAGGTCAAATAACGCGCGCCTGCGCGTACGTCCGCGCGTCAATGCGCGCGCAAAATTTTGAAATGCTCAAAATCGTCTGAAAATCATTTTGCATACGTTTTTAGGCCATTCTAAGCATTTTATAAAAAATCGCGCGTACGAGCATGCGCGCGCGTTTTCGCGCGTAAAACTTTTGCACAACATTGAATTGCTTTTTTTTTTCTTTCATAATATACCACATATATTTACAAACAAATTGATACCACGTTTGTCTCTTTATGACTATTAATAACGGAATGATCGACCGTTTAACAAAAATTTCTGTGCGCGCGAGCTCTTGTAATACATAGCATATATGATCAAAAACATGCCTATACAAAATCCATTGTAGCTCTTTAGGATGCAAGGTGACCCCAATTTTTTTTCATATTTTAATAAAGTAGGATTCGGAGATATTGTTTCATGTCTCGTTTGACCCTCAATTAACTCATGACCTCATCATAATGGCCTCCGAACTCAAAATTCCAATTTGCATATTATGACGTCAGCATATTTATGGAAAATTGATTGTATCTCTGTAAATATTGATTGATTTTCTTCCAAATTTCGATATGTTCTAGCTGAGACAATTTTCTACAAACAAAGTTACTATTACTCTCATTTTGACAAAGGCATCATGGCGTATTTTTGCGATTAAAGGAGGCATGTCAATTGTTCACATTTTTCGTGTATTCTCTATGGGACATGACTTTTTCTCAAAACTGGATTCTACATTTTCGTCTTTCGCAAGCAATATCTACGTCGTTTTAGCTTCGTTTACGCTGAACTTCGAGTATGTTGTAGCTGAGACAATAAGATATCTCAAATGTGCCCTTTATTTTTTTTCAATTTTTTGTTGGATCAGCCCACCTATACTTGTTCCAAACAAGTATTACAAATCTAGTATATTTTTCTTATTTCTAACCACTTTTTTGTGAACAAGATAACTTGGAAATGGCTCAATCAAATGCCTAGAAATTTGGCACACATATGTATAGACATATGTACAAAGCACAATAACGTTTTCAACATTGACCTTCACTGATGACGTCATCTAGGCGCCATTTTGTAAAATTTTACGAAAATCAACTCATGATCATATCTTCATAACCAAAAGGTATTTCTCGTTCATATTTATCATGATCAAGGTCAATATCCGTCCGGTCAATAAAAGGTCAAATAACGCGCGCCTGCGCGTACGTCCGCGCGTCAATGCGCGCGCAAAATTTTGAAATGCTCAAAATCGTCTGAAAATCATTTTGCATACGTTTTTAGGCCATTCTAAGCATTTTATAAAAAATCGCGCGTACGAGCATGCGCGCGCGTTTTCGCGCGTAAAACTTTTGCACAACATTGAATTGCTTTTTTTTTTCTTTCATAATATACCACATATATTTACAAACAAATTGATACCACGTTTGTCTCTTTATGACTATTAATAACGGATTGATCGACCGTTTAACAAAAATTTCCGTGCGCGCGAGCTCTTGTAATACATAGCAAATATGGGCAAAAACATGCCTATACAAAATCCATTGTAGCTCTTTAGGATGCAAGGTGACCCCAATTTTTTTTCATATTTTAATAGAGTATGATTCGGAGATATTGTTTCATGTCTCATTCGACCCTCAATTAACTCATGACGTCATCACAATGGCCTCCGAACTCAAAATTCCAATTTGCATATTATGACGTCAGCATATTTATGGAAAATTGATTGTATCTCTGTAAATATTGATTGATTTTCTTCCAAATTTTGATATGTTCTAGCTGAGACAATTCTCTACAAAGGCAATTGCTATTATTTTTCATTTTGACAAAGGCATGGCGTATTTTTGCGATTAAAGGAGGCATGTAAATTTTTTACATTTTGCGTGTATTCTCTATGGGATATGACTTTTTCTCAAAACTCTATTCTACATTCCCGTCTTTCGCGAGCAATATCTACGTCGTTTTAGCTTCGTTTACGCTGAACTTCGAGTATGTTGTAGATGAGACAAAAAGCTATCTCAAATGTACCCTTTATTTTGTCTCAATTTTTTGTTGGATCAGCCCACCTATACTTGTTCCAAACAAGTATTACAAATCTAGTTTTAATGATGTTTTTTAATGTTAATATGAAATAAAGAACTTACACCATCTGAATAAATGTCGGAATTATTTTCTGCGAGTAAGAAGCCGAGTAAGGTAACGGTGATGATTATAAAACTAAACAAGAAGTTCATGTGGATGTAGTTCTGTAAGCACCACAGCGACCTAATATGGTAATAAAAAGGGGGAAATTGTGACAGTTAAATTGTATTAATATTTGTAATCATCATAATGTCGTAGTATTAGTTGTAAAAATATTACTGCAACAAGTACTATTACTACTTATACTACTGAGAAAAAATAATAATTACATTATTAATAAAAATCATATACTAATAATGATTATCGTTATTGTTACTGTGATTATTAATATTAGTATTAAAATCAGTTATTTATTTTTAGCGTTATTATCATTATTATCATCATCATCATCATTATTGTGATTATCACCATTAGAATAATAACAACATCAATTACTGTCATTATCTTATTATCATTTAATGGAACATGGGTATAACATTTTTAATATTTTCAAAAGGTGAAATTGAAATGAAATAAAGGATGGTAAACATTTGCCTGACAACATTGGCGATGAAAGAAGCCTTACTTGCATGTTATCAATATCAGTAGCGCCCCCAACGTTGTGCATAGAGAGATCGAGTATCCGACATTGCCAATGACAGAGAGGCGGAGAAGATGAATTTCAGGCTAGTAAAGAATGATGATTAAAATAAGTTACACACAAACATAAAGGAACAATTGACAAACAACTAACAACTCAACCATTAGCGTTAAGAAGTACAAAAAAGATGAATCTCATCGTTAAAAGGGATAATAGGCAAATAATTACCGTTGGTGAAGGTGATGGGACAAACTATCACTTCCGAGGCGATCTGGATGTAGCTATCTTTCCGAAGCGAAGCTGAGGAAAGATAGCGTATACATTCTGATCGACGAGGAAGTGATAGTTTGCCATCGCCTGAAACCAAAAGGTGATTATTTGCTTTATATTCCACGTTTAAAATAATTTAACTACAGAAAGAAAAGGACGCGTATGCATGTACATAAAAGACACCTAGGTCCAAATTCACACTAAAAAAGTTTAAGTTTAACCCAACCCCTTCAGGTTATGGTGTGCGCATTTCTTTAATTGCGCACATTGGTAATGCGCGCTTAATTACGCCTGTTTTAGTGCGCTTTTCGATAATCTTCAGTGAAAGTGCGATGCACTGTGTAGAAAGTACCTCTATATTCAGGGAAAGTGCGTTGCACTGTGTAGATAGTAGTACTATCTACACATTGTAACAAACTATTTGCTTCTCCCATCAATAATGGGCGAACTATCTTTCATTACGTGATTTACTTTTGACCAATCGTAGAGCAAGATTCTTAGTATGTGGAATATAATATGAACTAATTAAAAAGGCTTATCCCGTTGTTCGCGCCCATTATAATGATTTTGTTGCACCCAAACTTGTTTACCCCTCCCCTACCATAGCAACAAGAGAGAGAGTGAGAGAGAGGGGAGAGAGAGAGAGAGAGAGAGAGACAAAGAGACAAAGAGACAAAGAGACAAAGAGACAAAGAGAGAGAGAGAGAGAGAGGCACAAAGAAAGGGAGAAAGAGAGGTAGAGAAAGAACGAAAGAGAAAGATAGGAAATTGCAGAGGGGAAAAAGATTCAGAGAGAGATAGAGAGATAGAGAACGAGAGAGAGAAAGAGGGGAGAGAGAGAGAGAGAGAGAGAGAGAGAGAGAGAGGGGAGAGAGAGAGAGATTGGGGAGACTTGAGGGGTGCAGGTAAAGGTAGGTGAGAGGGAGGGAGGTAGGGAGAGGGGAGAAAACGAGGGGGAATTAAATGATACAGCTCCATCATAGACCTTTACCTGGTGGCTCTACTCTTCCGCTTTTGGCCCCTCCCCACTTATTCACCACGCCCCCATGACTCGACGCAGACTACGCCAACCAACCTACCTCGAGAAAAGTGTCTACGGGCGTGCAACTGTAGTAGTCAGATTTGTTGTCATTACCCCATGTCCCATTCGTTAAACAGACACGTACCACCGAGGCTATACGGAACGAACAAATATAAAGTAAAAAAATAAATAATAATAATCAAGACGAATATAGTACAATATTATTTTCATCAAGTAAGCTATGGTCTAAATAAATTTTGATTAACTCCATCATGATCACTCGGCACATTACTTTTGCCATACATTGTTATAGGTGTAAGTCCTGTACGGCGGTTTTCACCTACACGCACTGTTTTCTTTTATAAAAACATCAGAAAATCGATCACAAAGCCACTTAAATGGATAGATGAGTTATGTTACAGTGGGCGCTACACAAAATAATTTATGTGTGAGATAATGAAAAACTGAGTGTCAAGTTTGAAAGAACATACAATTTAAATGTCAAAATCTTCTTTGTTTGATCAGAATCGGTTCAGAGACGGCTGAAATATCCATAAATATAACGATTTCTAATACTTGTGTACCACTACAAATATTAGATAATTTGAACCAGCCGTTGAAAGCCGTTGAAAAAACGAAATATCGCCTTTATGTCGTATTTCGGCTAATGCCGATGTTGGCTTTTTTGTTGGCATTTTCATGTTGCTTATATTACCCACAATTAGCTGGCTCATGTATTGTTATTTTTAATTAAATCATTAATTAACGGTCACCGTGTTTTTTTAAAGTGTGATCGTATTGGCTAATTTTCACATATTTTGGGGTCTAAAATTACCTTCATATCAATTTTAGGTTCTAAAAGGGCACTATAAAATGTCATAGATACGAATAAGAGCAATAACCACGCACTTTGTAGGCATTTGCGGTCTGAAAACAGAACTCAACTATCCCTTTAAAGTAAAACTAAAGGGCAACTTCAATACATTACCTTATACCATATAGATATGTTTGGATTACGTGTATGTCATTAAAATATTCGTATATTTCAATAGACGTAAAGGCTATTGAACTTGCCTTCTATTTTTGTTTCTTCAAAAGTCGATGAATGATGAACGATTTAGATAATTCAGTACGTATGACTCTCTTTAACAAAAATCCATCAACACAAGTTTGACATGCATCTTGTATTTGTTTTAGAAATTATTAAAAGGTCATGATTTTGGATGAAAAATGCAGAATTTATTCCATATGAGATTTTTAAACAAGTTTGTTGTTGTTGTATAATGTTCAATTACGTTTCATTAAAATTGATCATAATTTTCAAAAGAAATGACAGTATCATGATGTAAGGCCCAATAATTGTGTAGCTTACTGGCGTTGGAGTATTGGATGCCTAAGAAAAATGTCGGGCATGGCATCGTCACATTGCCAGGTAGAGAAGCTTTCCAACACTGTATCTCATCGTAATAGGAAGGACAATATCGATCTGAAATAAGAAGGACAAAAATGATAAAAATTATGATGACGATGATGATGATGATGATGATGATGGTGGTGACGATGATGATGATGATGATGATGATGATGATGATGACGATGATGATGATGATGATGATAATGATGGTGACGATGACGATAATAATAGAGATGATGCTGATGACAAGGATGGCATCATGGGGAAAGGGGACAACGGTCTTTCCGTGTGGATCAAATGCGAAATAACGATGCCCACTAATCGGGGAGCAGAGTTAGATCCAGAATTCCGTAAAAGAGGGGCACACTGTTCCTCTAATTTGCTGACAAGCCTTTTCATTCCTTCAAGGCATCGTTTAACAATGTTAAATCTGAGATGCACGGCCCTACATGTTATCAGTGTCTGTGATATGGTGTAATATTGAAGCCCTAAAAAGATCGCGCTTCAAAATGATCAAGAAGTGCTTCAAAAAAGCAAAAATCTTTAAGTGACCGGTTTTACAATACTTATTTTCCCCAGTAGACTGTAAAAATTTTGTTTCGATTTCAATCATAAATATCTTGATAATCAGACCAGCGATCGGCTTGTAAAAGTCATGGGGTTCCTGACTGACCTAAACGTTTATAATTTTCATTGCAGCCTGAGCTAAATCCAGGATTTTGTTTCAGAATCTTAGACAAAGTTACCGGATCCCTTTAAAGGTGATCACCCCAATAGAGAACCGTTCATGAACTTGTGCAGTAAACACATTATACTTGGATTTCAGGGGGCGTGGAAGAGGGTTGTGACCCCCCCCCCCACTCCTGAGGGAGGAGTGTAGAAGTGGGTCATATAATTTGACGAGCCATGCTTCTCAGTGGATCCCTCCACTTCATCAGTTTTCACTTAAAAAGATGAATAACTAATACTGCAAATGCATACGTTACTTTTGTAATTCAATAAATGATTTGCAAAATGCTTTATATTAATGTACATTTATTTTTGTTATTGATTTCTTGTCATAATAACTGTTTATTATAATTGTTGTTTGGGTAATACAAATAACACTGAAACTGAAACTGAGTAATGTTCGTACAGTTTCCTTTTCCTTTTTCCCACCCCCTCTCTCTCTCTCTACTTCTCTCTCCCTACCTCCATCCCTCACCCTATATCCATCTTCATCTGATAGAGGGGCACGTATCTCCTCGTGCCGAGCCCCCCCCCCCGCCCCTCCGTCGTGTAGCTACGCCACTGAACCTAAACTACACTAACCTCCAGTATCTGTGGTGAAGTTCAGAAACGTTGGCTCAAGCGAGCGGCGGCTCTCGCATATCTGCCTCTCATCTTGCATATCGGCACCTTGTGACGTCATAACTTGCTTGACCAGCGAATCAAACTTCTCCGTATTCAGCAGACTGGGCGTGGGCGTGACCATGGGCGTGGCCGTTGCCGTGTCGTCAGTCGCTCTCCCGTTTGACTCAGGTGAAGTTGGTAACGATCTCTCGACGCTGATGGCGCCCGCTTCTTGGGCCGTAGAGGGGCCTTGACCCCATCCGCTGCCGAGCACGGATAGGACCACCATGAGATGCGACAGGGTTGTGATGTACATCTGTTAAAGTAAAAAGAGGATAGGAAAATAATAATATAAATGATTCAAACAATTCCAAAATGGAATTTTGTTTACCTCGTATCTTCATCTTCAGCACCTAGACTTATCAAGAGGCGTTATTATTTACAATTGATTGCAGAATAGGGCAAGTCGAGATTAATTAAATTACAAAACGTTGCATGCGGAATGAGTGACTGTGCAAATTGATTGTTCAAACAGGTTTCATGGGAGGGGCGGAGATTTTAAAGACAACAAGGACATGCATATTGATTTTTTTTAGACCCCCCCCCCCACCCCTCCCCTCCTACGTCCGTCACGTTTGAAAATTCTATCTTTATTTCTCTTATTCTCCGTCTCTCTCTCTCTCTCTCTCTCTCTCTCTCTCTCTCTCTCTATATATATATATATATATCTCTCACTCACTCCCCTACCCCCTTCTCTCTCTCTCTCTCTCTCTCTCTCTCTCTCTCTCCCTCTATCTTACTCACTCCCCTACCCCCTTCTCTCTCTCTCTCTCTCTCTCTCTCTCTCTCTCTCTCTCTCTATCTCACTCACTCCCCTACCCCCTTCTCTCTCTTTCTCTCTCTCTCTCTATCTCACTCACTCCCCTACCCCCTTCTCTCTCTCTCTCTCTCTCTCTCTCTCTCTCTCTCTCTATCTCACTCACTCCCCTACCCCCTTCTCTCTCTCTCTCTCTCTCCCTCCTTTGGTCTTTCTAAGTTCACACGACAAACCCAACGTGTATTGATCAATTATGATGTTGTTTGTGTTTTGCGTGTAGACATCGACCAAAAAAGAAAAGGAAAAAGAAAAAATGCCTCGGCCAAACACACCTGTTGATATGAATTAGGTCAGGCAAGTTCAAATAAACAGAGCAATTTCCCCCACGAAGTTATGCTGTTGAATACATATGCCAACGTTATGTGGGAATACACTCCAAAGAAAATACAGGTTTTATTCTTAGGGTTTTACTGGCTTATATTCTTTAGACAACACCTGAACATAATATAAGCAAGTTGCATAGATGTTTACCCGTCTTTTCAGTGGAGTGTGGTTTTTGTCCTCAAAACTTGGGAGTAATTTTTTCACCTACAACTAGAGAATGCATCTGATTTGTTCAATCAAAGCATACAAATCCAAATTACTCCAAATCAATTAATCCAATTACTCTATGTGTTTCCTCCTAAACTAGAGAATTGGTGGCTTTAGGGAAAGGAAGTGGTATTAGAAAAACACCATTCAAGTGGTATATTAATAATATGTTTTACAAATCAGAAGTATGATAACAAATATGGAAAATTACGAGAGAGATACATCCATCGCAAATGCTGGTCACAATGTAATCAATTGAATAAGTATGAATATCCTTTTTTTCGTTATTCTTTTTAATTTAAATTTATTTTCGCACGCCTTAAGTTTGCTCATTTCTATACAACGTTTACACACCTTTTGCACATATTAATACATGGAAAGTTATGTGCCTTTTACGTAATCATGACAATATAGGCATAAAAGGGAAAAGACTCATCAAGTGCGATTTCGCAGTCTTATAAGTAGTAGTAGCAACATCAGTAGCATTGGTAGTAGTACTACTTCTATAATTACTACTACTAATAGTATCAGTAGTAGTAATATTAGTCGTAATAACAGCAACAGCGATAATAGTAGTACAAATAGGTGTAGTGCTAGTCCTATTAGTCGTTGTAGCAGCAGCAGCAGCAGCAGCAGCAGCAGTAGTAGTAGTAGTAGTAGTAGTAGTAGTAGTAGTAGTAGTAGTAGTAATAGTAGTAGTGGTAGTAGTAGTATTAGTAGTAGTAGTAGTAGTAGTAGTAGAAGTAGTAGTAGTAGTAGTAGTAGTAGTAGTAGTAGTAGTAGTAGTAGTAGTAGTAGTGTAGTAGTATTAGTAGTAGTAATAGTAGTAGCAGTAGTAGTAGTAATAGTAGAAGTAGTAGTAGTAGTAGTAGTAGTAGTAGTAGTAGTAGTAGTAGTAGAAGTACTAGTAGTAGTAGTAGTAGTAGTAGTAGTAGTAGTAGTAGTAGTAGTAGTAGTAGTAGTAGAAGTACTAGTAGTAGTAGTAGTAGTAGTAGTAGTAGTAGTAGTAGTAGTAGTAGAAGTAGTAGCTGTAGTAGAATCATTCTTACATCCACTGAAATGCGTAAACAATGCGAAATGTGTATGATAAAGTTACTACTTGGTACCTTTCTGAAGTCGCATTCTGATGTTGCATTTCGCCTTGATTTACTTCAAAGTGACGAAAACATCTTGGAAAATCAATTCGAGACCGGAGCAATTTCAAACATTAAATGGAAAATTGAAGAGTCACAGCCCTAGTACATTGATTGCCCATTCGAACGAACCCCTGGAAATTGATCCATTTCCAAGTCCCCGTTGCCGAAACGCTCGCGACCTATTCCGAGGCTAGTAACTCAAAGGCATGCAGCATAGTTTTGGCGGAACGTAGCAATTCTAGAAATCTAATCTAAACATCTACAATCAACAGGTATATGTATCACCTTGTTTTTGTCATTTTTTCACAAGTTTATAATATGGGTGACATAAAACAACTGGAGAGAAGTATAATACGTACCATTTTTTAAAAACCTGCCGAGTACTTCTTCATAACCTTTCTTAGAAGGGCACATTCGTGAGATATTATCAATAAGATTTATTTCTTCCCTTTTCTTCTCCACCCCCTTCCTCATCTTCATATATCTCTCTTCATCTCTCCATTTCTCTTCTATCTCTTTATTTATTACCCTCCATTTCGCTCTTCCTTTGAAAGAAGTAAGTGTTTTATGGAAAGAAAAATCCAAGCGAATTCTATATTGATTTAGTGGTAGTAAATTCAAACACATTATAATAATAGCGAGACCCGAGAGTGAAAGTAGATACACAGTGCCAATAGCAGGTAGACTCTGCAGATTATTAACCCTTTGTGTACTCGGACCGGGTGGTTCCTGTTTCAAACCTATAAGGGCAATATGACTTGTAAATTCAACAGTCAAAGGTTTAATATTAACAAGGGTTGAAACAGAGAAACACAATCCTTGGAGCAAGCTTATACACTGCTTAAGTTAGGGACATAAATACACTCATGAGCTTTAATCAATTTATTTGATAGTGTGCATTGATCAACTGTATAGTAACTACATAGTTATTAATGAATTTATGTATCAAACACTATATCGTTTCATTTATTAATTCATTTATTAATTCATTAATTGTGTAGATTAATTCGATCATCATTATGCTTTTCTTTGGACTTTTGTATTTGAAATCCAACTTTTTGGATCTAATATAGGAATAATAAACGAATAACAAGCTTCGCCATACTTTCCCACAATGTTATAAACAAACTCAATGACTTGATGATGATGCAATTGAGAACAATCATGTAAACATCGTAAACTCGGCGAAGAGGAAGGGAAGATCGCTTCTTTGAACAGTAACCCCAACGCCTTTATTTATTTTGCCCCCCTTCATCGTGCGGGGGACAATAGCCGGACCCCCAGCTAAGAAGATTCACAAAGAGAATGTGAATGAACGAACGAAACAGGTGGTGAGAAGTCAGAGTAAATACAAATGCAAAGTGCGTGTACCTGTTGGTATCATGGTAAATGTGTAATAAGCCATATACGCTTTGGTACATTGGTTTTTATTACCGAACAATAACAAAAAAATACTTTGCAGAGGATTTTCTGGGGCAGGACCGTGACAAAAAGCTACATTAAATTTGATTTATGTGGCTAGTGCCTTGATGCCCAGAAGAACAAAAGTGAACATTTATGTAGATTAATAAACAAAAGAAATAAAGATACAATAATTTCACGGTGCCTTAGGGCTAAACAACAAACAAAATAAGGAGTTTAAGTTATAGCGAAGCGAAATGCTGAAACACACTTGTACATGAACTGAAATCAATAGAGAATATAAATATTTTTGAAAGAAAAACATAATGTCACCACCTAGGAAATATATTATGAGGTGGGGGGGGGGGGGGGGGGCTGACCATGGGAAGGAGAGTCAACATACTCTATGTTTACAGTAAAGTCCTCTTGTTAATTATTACTTTTGAATAATTTGAATTTGTCTGTACATCATGATGATATATGATTGATTGATTTCCATTGTTTGGTTTTCTATTTTTCTGTTGATGTTTTTTTTTAAATATTTTCATATGTTTTTGTGTTATTATATTTTGTTACTGGCTTTTGTTTGTATTATGATTTATATTTTTCTATTCAATTCACGAACTCTCTGAAAGATCTGAAAGAAACAAAATATGAAATGAACTTCGAGGAATCATTATCATCAGCGTTTTGTTACGACTACTTGTATTGTTACACTTTTGTTGATTAGGCCCCATATCAACTAATGTCATTGTTACTTGGTACTTGTTTTAACAAACTCGAGGTCGAGTTTTGAAAGAGGTGAAAAATGTGTGAGCTTAAACATTGTTATTATGCAAGTGTGGAAGAACATGAGATACAAAACGTTCCCTGAAAAGCATGGCTCTTCAAATGCCTTAATATTCTAAATATGGCTCTGATCCATATAGATCATAGTTGTTTTTGAGAGTACTATTTACAGTTCTGACGTAAATTGCTATTTGTTTCAATATCACTATAGTTATCAATCATAATAGTTTTCAGTTTAGTTTCAGTTTAGCTTCTTTTATCTTACATGAAAAAACGAGGAAATGATATGGATGATGGATGTTAGAACAAAAAGAAATAGGAAGAGGACAGTAAAGAATGGGAGTCAAAAGAAGACTAAGAAGATAGAACAGGAAGTTTTGAAATATAGTGGGTTGGGAGTCACAGTCGGGGAAACAATAGAAGAGTAGTGCATTACACGTACGAATTCAATACTAACAATTTAATATGTTTTTTAAAGCTGCCACAAATTTGAAGCTATTTGAGATTCGGATACAACAAAGAAATTACAAAGTATAATTATATATATAAATACAAAGAAGAGAAAATCCCAGGTCACTTGTT